AGCCAGGCAAAGTTTAAATCAGCTAGCATCTCAATTGGTCCTTGAGACTTTCTTCACAAATATATACCTTCCGAAAAGTTATTCTCACAACTTTTTAGCATTTTTATACTTGCAAATATACTTCTTTAGCAATAATATTCACACAATCAAATTTTTTTACAATATTTATGATTTTTATTATTTTTATTAAACTATCAAATTATTTTGGGAATTAATCGTTCTTTATTCATAATTGCTTGTAAGTTTATACTTATATACTATTGATGATATTAATCATATTGATTCAACTTTTTCATCAATTATTTTGTTATGGTTCAAATTTTTTTTATTGTTATTAGTGAACAATTCAATTTCCTTAGATTGCTGAAAGGTATTTAGCTGATTATCTATTTAACCTTTATGAAGAACATGAAAGTGTTACTGATGAAGTCTATGATTAACAGTCTGTGATTAATTGCTTAACTGATTAAACATTGACCTTTAAAGACTCAGTTGGACATTAACTTTTGACTTTTGAGTAGTTGCATATAATTATAATCTTTTATTTGAACAAAGATGTAAAAATTTGTCTGAATTCGGTTAGCAACTGATTCTCACGTAAAGAAGTTTAGCCTTTCTATTTTATTAACTAGCAAATTGCAAGAAATACAAGTCAATATTTGTGATAAATACTTTTTCGTTTAAATTAACAAAAATATATTACACTTGTAAACTTCAACTAATTTATGCAAGTTTTGATGAGTGTTTTGCAATTCAAATTAGTCGATGCAATAATGATTAAATGTGCGATGATATTCGTTTTTCCCATAGAACAAATCATTTCAATTATTTACTTTTTCATTTGCTTGCTTTTTAGTAATTCTTTTTGATATCTTTTGAATACAACTCTGATAACCTTTGACCGCAAAAAGAGGTCAAATCAAAAAATAATTGCATTCAAATTTTTGCATTTTTTAAACCCTATAATGTCATTTTTCAAAAATGCTACACTTTGCTCGTACTTCATTTTTTTTTCTCAAAATTATGATAATTTGAAAAGAATTTAAAAAAGTTAAAAAGCGAAAAAAGTTTACTATTAATAATTATTTCTTTCTTTTGTGAAAAGTTTTCAAGCTTACGTAGCTACGAGATTTAGATTTTCATTTTTCGTCAACTATTTTTTATTAAAAAAAAATTTGCTTGAAACTTTATTTTCCAATTTTATACACACACTACGATATGCTTTTTTTAATAAAATAATTTTTTACTAAAAATTTAAAAAACATGAAAAACAAAAAAACATGAAAAAACAAAAAAAACATGAAAAACAAAAAAAACATGAAAAACGAAGAAAAAAATATAAAAAACAAGAAAAAATTTTATTGACCAATCCTATCCGTATTGAATAATATTTTGGCACTTAAGTATGGATTGCTTACTTATTCGTAATTTTTGCATACATTTTTTTTCTTTTTTGATTTTTTACATTGTTAAATTTTTACAAAAGCTAAAAGTCAAAATTTTTAATGGCAATTCTTTTTGTTTTATTTCATAAAGCATTGAATACGTGATTGAATTTAGTCTTTTGACTAATTTTTCACGTAAAAATAAGCAAACATATTTGAAAAAAGTTTTTTTGAGGCATTTCAATCATTGATTTTGCAGTAATAAGTCATTAATAAAACTTAACATTTGCTAATAAAAAATTTAAAAAGTGAAAAAATCAAAAAATTGTGATTTAAAAAATCAAATATTGTCTAACATTTCAATACAAATTAATGTCTATTTTGATTTTATATAAAAAATTTTTACGTGTATAATTGAATTGGCATGAAGTGGCAAAACTTTTTTTAGTACTATCAGTATATGATATGATTGTTATACAGTCAAAATATTTTTGCTTTTAAAACTAGTTTTAAGTAATTGATTAGGGTTATATAAGATTTTATTTGTTGTAATAATTACTGTGATTTTTGAAATGGTGACCTTACGTAAGTTCACGTTTTTCATATAAAAAACTATCATAAACTTATAATAACTCTAATTACTTGAAATTAAAACCTATAATAACTCAAATTACTTAAAATTATTAAAACTACTTAAAATTATTATTCTATAGAATTTCACATAGAAATCAATAAGTAAGTGTAAAAAAGCTTTTCACGTTCAAAACGTTTCGAAGTTTAATATGTTCTGGAGAGTTTACTTTATTTTCCGACTTTTTAACAAAAACCCCGAGTGATTCAGAAATTAACAAAAACTTTTTGTTTTTCAACAGAGAATAGGTCCATATTTCATATTGCACAACACTGACACGGCTTTCTAGCTTGTATATTTCCTTCGCAGAAGTTACGTCATTTGTCAATAGCTTCTTGAACTTTTACGACGTGACGTTGATGTTAACGTTCATAACAAGCAAATTTAAAGTTGAAAATTCAAATTGTAGTATTAATGCTTATTCGAATCAAAGTATGGAACTAAGATTAACTTACCTTTTCATAAGTGCTATAACTGAAATTTACATATTTGCTAATTACAAGTTTTAAGCTAAGATTAACTTCAACTTTAACTTTGTAAAAAACAGATAAAATTCTGGTTAAAATGTGACACTCTCATTGTTTTGCATTGCAAAAACGCACTGCTTCCATTTTAAAAATATAAAAATGTCAGATAAGTTTTATATGCATTTGAATTTTCGACAAAGTATGCATTAAATGAAATAATGTGAATATGCTTTCAGATTATATGAAGTACTTATCTAAACTGAAAATATAGAGCACTAATCTTAATTTAAATGACAAATGTAATACTTATCTCAATCTTAAAGATATATTACGTATGTAATACTTGATTAAATTCATCTCGATTTCATATATATATAGTTTAAATTAATTATTGGATTTGATAATTAGTTTTTTGGCGCGATGATTGTAGTGTACTGACCTAAATAAATAAATGTTTTTTTTTTAAATAACAATAAGAAAAGCTAATTAGTCATATTTGACTGAATTTTGATAATTTTTAGCATTAATTCAAATTACATTAAAATTCAAAATTCATATTTTTTATTAATACATTCAGTGAATTGGGTGCTTTCAAATTTAATATGATTTCAAATTTTAGAAAAAGTGTGTGCATTTATATATGTATAATAAAAAGTTCCGTAAAAGGTGCGATAGGGTATCCTGTTAGTGTACCGAAACCCGGTACCAGTAGAATGATCACGCTTGAAGCACTCGTCCGTGGGATCGAAATTTCGTAAAGCAAGTGGCCAAAAAAGGTGCTGAAAGCGATCGTTGACCGCTTTCGAAGAATGCCGGAAAAAAGATGGCCATTATATCGTTCCCTTTGTAGCGAGAAGTTCTTGTGTGCACTCACCCTCGATGAACTGAAGAAGCAAGAGAATTCTATGAACACGAGTTGCAGACCTTCCGTGCTCCCAGAAACGGTTTTTGGAAAGCCAATGAAGCTTGTCAAGTCACATGCCACGTATTTAGAGCAAAATACGCTACAAAACACGCTAGACGAATCTGAAACTAATCTGGATATAAAGGAGGAGTGCCCGGTGTTGATGCAAGAAATCCAGGGACGTGAGATAAACTAAAGTGGGCGCGGAAAATAACCTCGGAAAACGTAAACCTGCTTATAATTGTAGTGATTTAGTTTTCAAGAGGCGAGTGAACATACCACGCAGAATCCTCCAAATCATTAACAAATATGCGCTTTGAAAATTTAAAATGCAGATTTGAGTTCTTGAGAAGACGGTTTTATAAGGAATCTGACCGAGGAGCAGCTTGTTAAACACAATTTGGAACTCAAGGATGGACAAAAATGACGATGTCTGGCAGAAGATGATGACATCCGGCACGACTAATATCTGAAATTAATATTGCATGATAGCGTGTGAAGACGATGGACCATCTGACAACGCAGTGCCACAAAATACTCTATGTAGAAGGCAAAATGAGGTGCTGCAATGCGTTTATTTATCACTTTGCAAAAAGTATGGTCTGCTTGCTGGATCATTTTGTTCAGGAGATAGTAAGGAATAAAAACGTGGAGTCCATACGTGAATAAGGAGGAATCAATCGGATATCATGATCCACAGTCAAAGGTGACATGAAGTAGTAATACTGATAAAAACAAACGAATATGAACATTTTGCGCTGCAAAAAATTAATCCATTATTTTAACTAAAAAAATTAATTTTTCTATTTCAGAAATTAGTTGAAGTAAGCATTTATAAGACATATTTTTGTTTTGTAAGCATTAATAATTTCTCAGAAATAAATAAATAAATTTATAAATATTAAATCATTTTTTAAAAAGTATTTTGAATAATATTCTGTATAGATTACTTTAAAAGTTTTGAAAAAACATTGAATATCACTTCAAACTTTTTTAAATGCTAATAAATCTAAAAGAATTATTCAGTGTTATTTATCTAACAAAAATATCTTTTCTTTCTAAGCTAAACAGTTGTTAAATAGTAATAATGTAGAGAATAGAGCAATCAATACTCAATCTGAGGTTATTTGTTCAGATAATCATTTTTGTTAACCTTTCGAACTTTGAACTAATCTATGTTTTTTAAAATAATTTCTTTATTGTTAACAAATGAACACAAATATTGGTATGTTTATGAAAATTTTAGTTTAATATTTTGAATGATTATTTTTTGTTGTAAATATAGTAACTTTTATACAACAAAACATCACTGATATTAAATTTTATCAAATCACATATTTTGATTTATACTAACATCTAAAGATTCCGTTATTCTGTTACGTTCTTCACGTTCTTGTTATCACATAAATGTACGTATGAATTCATACTTAACTTTTTCTTAATTCGAAAAATATATTAGATCTGCTTTAATATTATATAAATTGTAATATTTCATATATATGAGTATAATATTTTTCAAAATGCTTAGTTTGATATGCTATTCACGTAAAGCAATGTTAAACTGGGACTGACAATTTTATATTTTTTAAATTCAGAAGTCTCATGTTTTTTAGATGGTCTCGTTGAAGCAAGAATTTCACTTTTATGATTATTTGGGACCAATTGCTGTGGCACTACTTTTTGCTATAGCTGTGCTATTAATATCATTTTTTGTTCTAAACTTTTTCTTCATCTCTAAATATGATGACCCAACTGTTTTTGAACGAGTAAGTGTAATATTTATAAATATTATTAAAATTAAACTAAAATCAAAAAAAATTACAGGGATATGACTATTTTTTACATGCAAGTATAAGTCTTTTTTAAGTCTTTTAATATTTTACAAAAATTTTTTGTTATTTTCATATTTGCAATTTACAATAATTACAAAAATGCTCTATAGGTTTAATTTTTTATTGATATCCAAATACTTTATGCTTAGTTTTTGCAATTTTTTGATTTGAAAAAATTAAAATTATTACAAAAAATTAATTTTTAAAGTTTATTTATCATTTTCAGATTAGCTTCAAAATAATTATTAATTTGTGTTTTAGCTAGCTTCCAAGCATAATCTCAGGCTTGGTCCACATGATGTACAAACTGTTATAAGTCGTAAACATCGTTATATGAAAAATAATGCTATCAGAGGATCTCAGAAATCTTTCTGCAAGGCATCTGATAAACCAATTCACAATTCACAACAGAAAGTTGAATTCACATCTCAACCAATACCAGAAGTATGCATTAATTCTGTCTAATTTACTAATTTAAACTACACATTTTAAGATTACATATTTAATGGTCATTAGTTTTTCAGGTTCCTGCGTAATTTACGTTGTGTTTCATCACTTATACTCTATTTAATGCTAAAGTGGACTTTTATTGTTTAAATGACCAACTTTCGATAATTATTGGAAAATGGAGAAGGAATTTGTACATTGATATTCCAATGCTTGAAACTTCATTTGAGAAACTGTTTTTGATCAAATTCTATTTTGATTTAACCGTCGTAAAATTTTTTAATTTTCATCTTAATTAAGATTACATACAAATTTTAATTGGTCAATTCCTTCAGCAATTCATATCTAATCAGTGTTTTATCGCCACGATTTGTTTTTTCTTTTCATATTTGAGTTATGACTAAAATATTTAAGTATTTGTTTAATCATTGTTATTCCAATCACTTATTAATCTATCATATTCAAATTGTTGTCTATATCTTAGATTAGTTTTGATCTAAGCTTGATTGCTTTCTAATGCGAAAATTTTGATTTAATCTTATTGCATATTTTTTACTTTGTAACAGTAAACTTAAATGACTTAAAAATAAGACTAAAAATTTTTTGATTTCAATTTTATTAAAATTATTAATAACTAATCAGAACTGTCATCTAATGAGAAATTGACTAATTTTATCGCAATGAAAAAATGATATTTTTCAAACATTAAATTTCAAAAGAAATTTGGTAAATCTTTTGTTTTGAACTGTAATTAGGGAAAAGCTTTCATACTTATTAGACAAATTTTTTTATTTTGTTGATTTGTACTGTACACTTAATTTTTGGTAACTTTTACTGAAGATAAATTCAAATCACACTTAATAATTTTAAGTAACAATAACTTGCTGTAAAAGTAATGTCCTATGACGCTCCAGTCGTTAACAGCTCGCATTTCTTGTACACATGTTATGATTTTAATAATCATAAACGAGTTTGTCAGTTTGTACATATTTGTGATTCTGTTAAACTTGAAATTCATTCATAATAAAATACAATTCTAAAAAAATATGCTGCTTAATTTGGTACAAAACTGAAAAAAAATAAGATATAATAAATTTAATTATTTAACAAAGTTCACTCTCTTACCAAACTGAACTATTGTAATAAATCTTTCAAAATTTTGCTAACTTTTCCCATAATCTACTCTCGTTAATTTTATTTATTATAATTTTGCATTTTATTCTATACACAGTAAAATATTCACTTAGCAAACATTAATAATTGTTAATTCATTTCAAATTAATTCATTTCCTAAATAAACAAACTTTGAAAGCCTAACGTCATATTTTGTACGTTCAATTTTATTCTTGAAAAATGACTAATTTTTGAAATTAAAAAATGAAGTGATTTTGGTAATTACTAATATGAAAATACTTACTACAGACAACAAGGAATCAAATAAAAAAATTATTTTTACAAATGAATAAAAATTAAAATTGAATTATTTAAAATAAAATATTGAATCATTCATTTTATAAATTTTTTATTACTTTTAGAATAAAAACATCCTGCAAGTAGATTTGTTCTTTTAAAATTCTTTATTGAGATAATAAAATACATTTATATAGAATACATATTTAAAAATAATATAAATAGTACGCTAGCTAAGTCCATGAAAAAGATGAAATTTTAAATAAGATCTAGAAAACTTTTATCACTTTTCGATTCCTATTTCCTCCCAAAAGTTTTCGACAAATGCATGGACTTAGCTATTAATGACTGTTTTTCAATTTATTATTTTTACTGTTAATCAGTTAAATAACAAACTCGCTCTTGCTAGAATCAAATATAACAACTGGCATAAAATGAGTGAAACACACAAACTTTCAAAGTAAAAGTAATAAAGTTAATAAACTAACCATTTAATTACCTTGTACTAGTACTGGTGATATCAAGTGGATGCATAAATGAATAAACAATTAAATGGAATGCATTTGGCTTGGCATTGTATAAAACCAAATCTTTGGCTTGAAAAAAACAATTCATAAAAAATAAAGAATTAAACAATCACGGATTTCTTTGCATATGTAAATTACGGCGTTGAATCAATGTTCCAATAATATCCTGAAAAAATCTTAATCTAAAAGCAATTTTCAATTTTGATTTCTATTTTAATGCCTTTATTAACTGCTTCGACTTTATTTGTATTCCAAAAATTTCAAAAGCAATAATAATCTTTCATTTTGTATGTTTCCATCTATTATTTCTTTTATTAATCCAAAAATAAAAAATAATTTAACTAATTAAATTAGAACTTTTATAAGTTCAAAGTTAAAATTATCTATGTCATTTTGATAATTTCATGAATTTAGCTATTTTTTAAATTAAATACCAGATTTCTCAAATTCATCAATATTTTTTTTGAGGAATAAGAGTGTAAATTTTTGAATTCTTCAGAATGCAACTCTCTGAGATTCTACCTGAATACTTGGAGTAAAGACGATAACATTATCATGTTCGGTACAATGCAGACTGAGAGATCGTACCGCAGGCATACGTAACAAAAGTTTAGCAAAACGCTGATGCTGCGTAGGTTGTTGTTGACGGCAGTAATCTTCCAAACATACCAAAATTTTATCTCGTATTGTCTCAATCAGTGACATATTTTTCAATCCAGCAACATCTGTTTAAATCAAAAATATTACCATTTGAGCATTACATATGGATCCTACTAATTTATTTCAATCCATTAACCGTAATTATACAGTAATTAAATTCATTACTCTGATTTCTTACATCCTTATCAGATATATGCCAAAAAATAATCTCAAAGTTTCAATTAAAATACATTTCTTATTAACACTTTAAATATTTTTTATTTTTTCTATAAATTAGATAACTTTCTGCATATTTGTTGAAAATTTGTTGTAATTTTTACTAGGATTATAAAGTATAGCACATCGTAGAGCAGCAATCTCTGTACGATCAATGTTCAATTCCTTGAATCGAACTACCAATTCATTCATAATCCGATCGAAAATTACGCTACAACCTATTCGTTCTGCCTCCTGACGTTCCATTACACGTCCATATGGCCATAATAATAATTTATGCAGTGTTGAACGATAAGCTATATCTGTAAGGATTAACTCACACCATCCTGAAAAGCAACTGCATAATTTCGGAAACTTTTTGTGAAAATTTATCTCTAAAAGTTAGTATTGGATCATATTAACCTATTGTAACTGATTGAAGGATCAGAAAACAAATTTGAGGAATTTGTATTTAAAAAAGTCTATCAAAAACAAATATGCAGAATTGAAGCATCGAATTCAAGCTCTGAAAGACACTGTTGAAGATTCATAAAACACTTATTTTTATGGAGCCACTACAGGAAACTTCACAAAATACATTTTTTTTAAATTATTTAATTTTCAATTTCATCTATGTTTTTTACCCTTTTTAATGAACTTTCAAAGTGTTCATTCATCATTACAAAGGTTAATATTTTAAAATTCTCATTATGCTTCTAACATAAAACTATACAAACGTTTTATTTCTGTTAGAATTGATACAATAATTCCATTATTTATAATATTAACTAAATTGCCAACATTAAATTTTGAATAGAATAGCTATAGAATAGGTGAAGCTTTAAGTGATTCATAATCGTGATAAGGAGTACTAGCTTTAAAAAAAGTTTTGCTAAGGTCAAACAAACCAAAGCTTATCAGTCTTGCTTGATCATCAATATTTATTTCATTAAATCCTGGCAGTAGTAAGGCCCATTCAATTAATCGTGTTATCTGCCATTGCATTGATTCACAACTTTGAACATTCAGTGATTCTACCTGCAAAAAAATTAATTACAAATACAAAAATGTTTATCATATCAATTACGAGTATTATGCAAATTTGTGCATCACTTTCACATCGGAATATGCAAAAATAATAATAATAAAAGCGAATTGTTAGCATTGAAAACTTTTAAATGCAGAAAAATTCTCTCTGAACCAAATTTTGCAATAATGTCAAGTTCAAATCAAAAGTCAAGAGTTCACTCAACTTTTCTTCAATAAAATTAATTTGTGAAACTTTTGCAAAAGAACTTAAGTATTCCGACACTCTAAGGTCATCTTATTCTGTCCTAATATGCAAATGAGCGGTACAGTTGCTTTTAACCTTTAACTTTCTTTGAACTTTAAACTTTGAAATGCTCTTCAGTCATTTCCAATATCGGTTGTGAGTTAAAATCATACGACAGTAAAGTAGACTAAATATGAATAAAGACAGTAAATTTTGTAAAAAAAGTTCAATCAAAAACAAATCTGCGAAATAGTGGTATTTTCTATCATCAAATTCAAGTAGAGTTAGATAAAGAGAAAGTCTATTTTTCAAAAAGTATGATTTATATTGATAAACTTTTAACACTACATAGATAGACAACTGCTTAATCTTTAAAAAATTTTAATTATCCAAATTGTCATAATATTATTTGTGAAATATATTGTGGTAGCAATTAATAAGAATAATTTATTCAAATTTCACTTGCCAGTATACTTTTACAAAAAACTAATTATCTTACTTTTAAGTGAAATAATTCTTTTTTTAAATAAAAGCTTTTCAAGTAAAAATTCAATAAAGTGTTCTAAAATATAGTTAATTTGCAAGGATCACTTCTTAAAATTTTCTTTATAACATTCTATTAATTATTTGATTATTTGATATCAGTTATAAGCTAAAATATAATTTTATTGAATTTTTTTTTCACAAAAATATCATAAAATATTAAAGATTATGCAAATTTATAGAAAAATTGAAGCATTAAGACTAAACAAAAACAAACATGCAATATTACTTTTATACTAGTAAAAAGTAATTCTGAAGCTTGCTCAGCTGCCACAATGCGTTCTATCTGAATCTCTGGGCATCTGCTAGTGCTTTCTACCTCCATATGATTCTTCGGCACCTGTTGCGTTTTACTAGTGGAAGTTTTGTTTGATTCTGTTTTCGCACTTTGTCTTTCTTCTTGTACTGCTGTTATTTCAGAAATACGTGTGCAAATACTTTGATAACTTTTAATTCATTTCTTATTTTATTTTTATTGAAATAAATTATCTAAATGATTATTTATTTAGTGTTTTTTTAAGTGCAGAACAAATATTTGCGCCGGAAATAAAACAAATTCAATACTTTGTGATCGACTTTTTTGTAATTTGTATATAATATTTGTTTATGCTGAAAAATGTGTTGTTGACTTTAATACTTTGTAAATTTTCTTGCATTTTCACAATTGTATTACTGTTTATGATCCAAAAAAATTTAATCATGTTTTTTAGCAAAAATAAAAATTTTTTTGTACAAAATTTTATTTTTTATCAGCAAATTTCAATAATTTTTTTCGAGTTATTAATTCTTAAATAAATTATTTATCAATTAGTTCATTATGAAAATTTGTCTGAAAAATTAACCTTCTCGTTTCATTCCCATACTCTGACATTTTCGATAACGACAATACTGACAACGATTTCTTTGCCTTTTATCAATGATACAATTACGATTTTCACGACATAAATAGACCAAATCTTTACGAACTGTACGTTTGAAAAATCCTTTGCAACCTTCACAACTAAAAAGATTTGTTATCAATTTGTTTATCCTTAATTGAAGTTATCAATTTATCAAAAATTTTAATTTTTGATACACAGAAAGTTTTGAAATAAACTTAGCAAAGCTTTTGGTTTCATCAGAAAATTGATAACTTCAATAGCTCATTAATCAGTTAAGCAGTAATTTAAGTCAATCTCTGCTAGCAAGAAGCAACTCATCAACTGCAATACACTCGTTTTATTATCAAATTTATTACTTTGCAGTTTCGACAGTACAAAATAAAAAATGTTCTGAATACAAAAATTGTTAGCTACAAAACTTCCAGCCTTAATCTAAAAAAATGCATATTTGCGAATAATAACAATCATAGAACGAATGCAAAAGCATTAAATCAAATGAAATGAAATTAATTAAATCAAAAATCATAAAATCTTCTTTTACTGATCAGAATTAATTAGAAAAAGTAATAATACGAATCAGTGTAACTTAATTACTTTACACATAGCATGAATTTTTAGTGAAAATTAAGTAACTGTTTTTCTACAACACAAATAGTATTAATTAAGAACGAACTAAATTTTCAATTAAAAACTATTGCATAAAAGTGTTGTTGAAAAGTGCATAATACTTAATTTTAATAAGCAAAAGCTAGAAAAATTCATCTCAATTAAAGAAGTAAAAAATGTTTTGTACAAAAAAGCAATAATGATATCTGAAGTTACAATCCTAATAAGACTGTTCACATTACTCAAATATGATTATTCAATTTTATAGCTAACATTACCTATACACCCCGTAATGCTTTCCCGAAGCTCGATCACCACAAATTGCGCAAATGTGTTTTGTGATCGCCCCCTGATTGACTGAGGTTGAACACCGCGGAGGGGAATATGATGCCATATTATTAGGAGTCGTACTGAAATTATTTCTTCTGAGTATTATCTAAAGTTACTAAAGTTACATGGTACATTTTCGAATAAATTTATTCACTTTACTATTATTTTTTTATTTTTTTTAATCAGAGTTACACAGTTTTTTAAACACTACAATAATAATGCATTTAAGTACACCGCAATAACAATATGTTTGAACTACCGAAAGCAATACTCTAATAATACTACGCATATTGGAGTATTAATTTATAAAAAAAGAAGGGCTAAATTTGATTTATCAAAAGTTGCTCGATACTTTTTCATAATATTTTAGCTATCTGTTTCTTGGAAACAAAATAATTATGTGATAGTATTATTACATATAGAATTAACATTACTGATTAATTTTCATATATTAATTATTAGCGCCGAATATTCAATCATGCATACATTCTGATCTTTATGCTTCAATTTAATAAAAATTACATAAATCTACAAAAAATTGTACTTGATTACTTGAAATATCATACCCTTTAATAATTATCATAAGATTTACACTGAGCAAAATATTTGAAATTTATATAATTTTTGGTACGAAAATATATTTATATTTATATATTTGATCAATTTTAAATAATTTTTCTAAACAAAATTAGTAAATTATAAATATCGCAACGTTGTAATTTTTCAGACTTTATAAAATATTAAATTTATAAATTTAATGAAAATAAAAAGTTGAGAGAATGTGCATATCAATAAAAAATGAGAGTGTACAGATTTATGAGCATAAATAAATTTACATATCAATTTACGATGTCATTTTTTACAAATTTTGAACTATTCACAATATTGCTTGACTAACTGATATTATTCTTTGAGAAAAAGGTAAACTTTTTACAAGTTTACCTGCTAACTTCGTCATTTGAAATTGTAAATTCTTGGAGACGACCAGTAGTCGATGGTCGTAAAATCATCGTATTTGATGTTAGCATTTGTTCTAAAGAAAAAACAAAATTGCAGCAATTAAAATATTGAAGCAAATTTTAAATCATTTTTAATTACAATAAAATCATGTCTATTAGAACGTTTTTAAACTATAGTAGAAATAGAATAACTTTTGTATTTATCAGATACTGTATTATGCGAACTATAAAAATATCCTATCTAATCACCAAAAAACTCAAGTAATGATTTGATAATATTTGATAAAGTGAAATTAAGACTCTTTTTAGTGCTAGGCACTTCATTAGCAGTTGGGCAGAATTCAAATTGCAAATAACTTAAAAAGAAATTGAAGAACCGCTGAATTGGCTGCTGCCAATAATTATTATAATTTACTTTTAAATTTATTTTTGAACATAATTTAATAAATATAGAAATAGTTGAGAGCATTCCAAATAGCTATAGACTTTTGAAACTTATTTTAGCTAATAAATTTGCGCATAATACAAAGTAAACTTGACTAATTTTAATTCCAATCGATCTACACTTCTTACCGTTATTTTAGTTACTTCTTATGGATATAGTTTCTATCAAGGCTTGATAAATTCATAATTCAATTCACTGTACATAAATTTAATCAAATGATGGGATTTGGATAAAACATTAAAAATATTACGTGAAAGCTCATTTTTATCCTGCCAAACTTGAATAAGTTTTTGATATAATATGTTGTATATAAACTTACTTTTTCCAAAACTTTATAAATTCTTGCTGAAAAAAATTAAATGGCTAAAACTAGAATAATAAAAATGTTGCATTGTTATATACAGCAAATGCTCAATCATAACTGCTGCACAAATAAGATACAAAAATTTTTCCAAGTGTAAGAGTACAAATATTTCAAATTAAGCAGTAAATTGTGTTTCAACATATTTTGTGATAAAAACAAAATTAATACTCAATTTTAATTGCAAAAAACTATCATTTTTGCTACTCCATTATGCACTGCAGAGTAAAAATTCGCGTTTTTAATCTTCACTTACAAATATGCAATTCCGCAAGAAGTAATTTAGCTTTCAATTATCAGCTAGCTACTCGTGATGGTCAATCAAAGATAGTCCAAAATAAATTTCATACAAATTTCAATCAAAAAATTCTTCGTTTTTTGCAGAACTGAAAGCAGTTTAACCCTTTGATGTAACTGATTTGACCTTTAATTCGAGTAATTTCTCAATCTAGAATTAGTCATTCGTCGCAGGTGATTCGCTATGAAATGAATTATATGGCTAACCATGGTAAGATGCGATAATTTTCAAAGAGCTACCGTGTCTCAATCAAACAAAATTGATAATACTCTTATTTTGTAATCAGTAGTGGTCATCGCCCACTAATGCACTAATTCATTTTGTTGACGAAAAGACTTAGATTATTGGTTATTCTTTTAAAATAAGTTTGGAATATCAAAATTTTGTTGCATATAATTAAACATTGAGTTTTCTGCATAAGTTGATTCTAGAAATTCAATTATGTGCGAAAATCTTCATCAATCAATTTTACTAATTTTAACAGTCATAAAACGAGAAGTGACGAAGTTCTGTTTACTAAAAACAGAGATAAAATTAAAAGGTTAAAGGTTCTGTTAAAATAATTATCAGTAATCACTTCAAAGAAAATAAAGAAATTATTCAAACAAACCTTGCTGAATCCAAGTGGTACTAATCGGATTGGAGAAACCAAAGTAATTATTAAGCACCTGATTAAACTGCCCTACAGGTTCATCTACCTGACTACTTACAGTTGACATTCGGTACTTGACTTCACGTTTTCGTTTGCTTCGTATTCTGGTAGGACTCAAATCAGCACTTACCGGATTTATAACTGTATTTGACTTAAACCATTCCGGCAGGCATAAATCCATAGATAAACTTGACCCTAATTATTTTTTTTTCTAGTAAAATTAACGCATTTTATTTAATCTAACAATCGTAATATTCATTAAAAATTACTTCATTAAAGTAATATTCGTATTTTCTTCTTTTTGTAGAATTTTCACTACTAATATAAAAATATTTGGCGGAAGACTGACAAAATTACCGCATAAATTAATTAAACCATAAAATATGCAAAATTTCTTAAATATGAAAAGAACACAGACATATCTTATGCAAATATCACAATTTTGTCAAAACTGACCTTGTCAAACGTAGACATTAACGCAGTAGAAATAATACATTACTTCCTCATCTTCGGTAAAACACAAAATTGCAGATCGATCAACAACTCATACAATACAGTAAGGTTGTAAATTATTCACTCTCTTTATATAGCGCAATTTTTTCTTTTACATTTTTCTTATTTATTGCAAGTTTAACTGAAAAATAATTTACCAATGTTAGCAGCATTCATCAAATTCTACTAAAAACTTATTCAAAGAATCTAATGATTATAAATTACTGACTTCTGAATTACGAATTACTGACTTCTGAATTACAAAGCAAAAGCTAAAATAATTAATTACTCACAAGATACAAAATATTTGCACATAATTTTTTTACTTTTATAAAAATCAATGCAACTTTGCAAATTTGGGTACTAATTTTTATTATTTTTGCTTATGCCTACAGCATGAACTTTGATACTTTTTTATTATAAATAAATATTACAATCGAAATAACACCCAAACAATAATATCACTGAAAAATCATTAAAAAGCAATACCGTTTTGTGACAGTAATAAAATTAATAGTAATAATTAATACTAATAATAATTAGTATAGCACAAGAAATTAGTAAAATTTCAAAAAAAAAAAATAGTAAAAATAAACTGATAATCTTACTAGTTATTAGTACATTATCACAAATAATAGCATATAATTTTCAAAAATCAAGAAAAAAAAAAGCGAATAATATTAATTTAATAAAGAAAGGAAAGAACACTGAAAGAAAATCAAAGAGACGAAGAGGAAAGCGAATTCCGCCACGGTAAGTAAGTAGTAGTAAGTAAGGTCAAGCGAAATCGGGACTGTCCGATGACACGATGACTGGCACCAAACTTGCCCAAACCAATCAATCACTCCTCCCTGTAACAAATTATTTAATAAATAAATAAATACTTTAATGTATGCACGTACTACAAATAAATGTGCATGTCCATGCATGTCTATGCATGTGCATGTGCATGTGCATGTGCATGTCCATGTGCATACATTAGATAATGCACACTCTCGTTCTCGATAATATCCTAGCAAACATTTTTGTCATCTTCACCACCACTTTTATTACTTTTACTACTACTGGCATTTTCTATAAATATTTAAAAAGATAAAACTTTAAAGTCCCGTAATACCATATTAAAGAAATACAAAAGTAATACTTTAAAGTTAATGAAATTCAGATTAATAGCAGTAATATTGAAAAAAGTTCACAGTGACTTATATCAAAATAGAATCATCACAAAAGCGTTAAACAATTATTGTCATGAAATAACTGTAATCTAGTCAAATCCAATCCATCCACTACTATTTCCATCAAAAATATAATTTGCATAAGCACTCAATTTATGCTTTATTACTATCAAGATAAGTGTAACTTTATGAGGGTATCTGTCCTACTTTTTTAATCATCAGCACCATATATACCCTACAATTTGTTATTCAGAGCTATTCTTCACAGCTTGAAAAAACCGTCCTATAGAACTTTCACACCAATAACTGTCTACAATCCCTGCAATAATGTATGCAACATGCCATAATACACAGAAGTGAGTGTGCGTAAGCGCACCACTGCACTCATCCTTGAATTATTCCCACTTAACAGCCAAATCCAGACTATCTCTCAGCTGCAATTAACAATACCATCATCCTTTATCCATAATGCAACTACATTATAAAAGATAAAACTTTAAAGAGATGAACATTTAGATATGAATATACATACACACGCCAAACAGACTACTTTTTCTATAAATTACACGTTATTAACGTTTGCAATGCTTCAGCATTTCGCGTCTTGTTTTCCAAAAATATATACTTTTACACAGCATCATACAAAGAATATGCATACATCAAATCCTACATTCTCGAAACCAAAATATACCAGGTGTTAATGGTTATAAAATAAACAATAAGCAAAATGAGGAACCAAATCGACAGATATTTCACTGAAATACTAAGAAAACATAAGTTGGCCAAAAATATTCTATTAAAAAACACTATTTTGAAACATTTAATACGTCACAGATGAAGTTACCTTCACAAATATATATAAATAAAGTTTCCTATCACAGTTACACATTACAACTTCTGTAGTTAATATAAAAATGTCCTGACAAACATAAAAACCACCAGTTTACCGCTTTTTTATCCCGCCTTACGCTAACTCATGAACGATCATTTTTCATAAGTCAAGATAACTAACGTTGCACCAATTTTCAAAATTATTTTTGTTCAGATCAAGGACTGCAAAAAAAGTTAGCAAGAAAACATAATAATAAATGAATTATTCATTAATGTACTAGATATAATCCAAGTAGTTTTGTTAAGAAATAATTTTACTTCAAAAGAGAACCATGGGAAATGCATTTAAAAAAACTAACATACATGTGCCTTAAGATTAAGAATAATTTTATGCATTTATATAAAATAAGTAAATTGAACGTGACCTTTACAGTATTACAGAAAATATGACAAATCATACAAATAATAAGTGTATGACCAGAATTTTTTAAAAAAACGCGGCTTTTGTGAGTAAATAAGGAATTGAACGCGAAAAACTTACAAAACAACATGTACAATATTTAAGCAAACGGATCATCCTCACTATACGATATCTGAGCACGTAATTCAACTTTATGTGCTGTTTCAACCCTTCCTCCCTCTTCTTTTTCAGTCAGTGATACCGATGCCATTTCTTTAGACGCTTTCTTAGCTAAAATAATTACAACATTTAACAAAATACTTGATACTTTGAAAATTCAAACCGCAGTACAGTCAACGTAAGAATATCTCGAACGTTAATGAAAGACTAAGAAAATTAAATGTTAAAATGAAAGAACCAAGATGAATATAATCAAACCTGCAAAAACAATTCAAAAACCTAGTTGCAAACACCTGCACTTACTCAGATTCCTCTAAATAGATTAGACCGATTACAAGAGAACTACAACTTTCACTGAATTTGTTCTTATGATAAATGATGGTGAATAAAGACTTCAAAGCAAAAAAAGTCATGCAAAACCAGTGGGTTGTGCATATTAATACTTTATTCTGGAAATCTAAAACTACATGTTTAAAAAAATTATAGAAATGTGGTCGGAATTCCTGAGTCGACTATTCAGCCACAAAATTGTTATCATTTTTCAACAGTTTATATTACTGATTATTAGTTAACCACAAAGACTAAAACAAATTCCTTGGCAAGCAAACAAAATGTTAAAATTATAGTATAGTCAAGATACCAAACAAAACAATCTGCAAGGCCAATGACCTTGCAAAGAACAGAAGTGTAAGAGCTGCTGAGAGTGTTAATTCACCTCCTCAAATAATGTAATCGATGAGAAAACAAATTCCAACGTGCAAACAACAAAACCTTTGACCAATGAACCATGACAACTGCTCGCTGACCTCTAACAAACAATGCTCATAAACACTGCATGTTTCATGTCCGACGACTTGAACAACAGATGCTCATTCACTAAGAAGGTCAGGTCATCAGGAACAAAACAGAGGGAATGAATAAAAAGGAGCATTAAAAAACAAGCAAATGTGAGAGTGCTATGTAATATTTTATTTCCTGGTAAATGACATTAGATATTTAATGACAACAATTTAAGATCATGAATTCTACTCATATGACTTATCACTGACAAAAATTCAAAATATACTTACTAGCTTCACTCCACGCAATTTGGACTTCTGACATCGGTGGTAGGGTTGGTTGGGAATCACACTGCTTATCATTATTTGTTCCAAACCATGTACCACTCATTGCTGATTTCTCTTCCATACCATGCCAAGACTCAACTGCTTTGTCATGCTCTTCACTACGCAAGCAACCATTATCCAAATCATGATGTCGTAAACCCTCTACTCCTTTTGTTTCATATCTGCTATTAATTCGCTTGTTACCTCTGAATACTTTACGATTATCATTCCATTTCTCAGCAACATCAACAAAAGCTTTATCACCGCTTTTCAAGTTGAAATGATTACTTGTTCCAGACTTGAACTCATAACTGTTATCATCTTTATCCTGCGATTCGTCATCACGCGTTCGTTTCGCTGGCCAACGATCTTCAGTCCTGCTATACAAATTCGTCTGACTACCACTTGCTAATCCCAAATCAGCCACGTTTTTGTTTATTACTGCCAACGAAGAAGACTGCTGATTATTTGTTTCATCAGTACAGCAACTATTATCACTCGATTTAAAATAATGGTTCTGATTTCTTGAATACCGCTGTAAATTTCTACAACCTCGATTACTGCATTCATTGGTTTGACGCATTAATCTACTACCTCGTCTGTCTCTACTAAAACAGCTCCATCGATTACCACAATTCCTTCCTCGACTTTCAAAATTATCCCGGTTACCGACATCCAAGGATTTTTTGGGTGACGAGATATTGAAGGCATCCCTTGTGTTATCATAATTCACGGACTTAGAAGTACCCATATCACTATCTAGAGTGTTATCATGATTATCAGGTTTGCAAGTATGAAGACCATCATCAGTCTGAATAGGAATAATAGGTTTAGAAGCATCGAAACCATCCATTTCAACATGAGCGATAGATTTAGAACTGCTAATATCCTCTTTTCCCTGATTTTTGCATACGTCAATTTTCGAACATCCGGTATCATTCAACTTCTTTACTGACGAAAAACCACCTTTCTGTTCTATTCCTGACCATGTAGAATTTTGTGCTTTGCTACCACTTGACCAGCTGCTGCCAACATTTTCAGAAATCACTGGCTCAAAACACTCCCCGCTTTCAGAGATACGTTTTCTATCAGAGCGCTCATTATTATCATAAAAAAGACCTCGCTCACAGCTACGGAAATGCCCACTGCGCATATTCCGAAAATATCTACTGCGATCGAACATTCTGCCACCACGGAAACGTCCCGTATCACTATTCTGGTTCTGACGGCGTGCAAATGAGACGCGCACTGTAATTCCATTAACCATATTTCCATCCATCTAAAAAAAATATTGCAGGAAGCAGTATTTGAATACTGTGCATTAAAGTTCAGAATGTGAAACAAAAAAACCTTCGAAAAGTTAGCTATGATCACAAGGATTTCGAACTACGAAATAATTAATTGCAATGAATCAATTCTAACGGCAAAAACAATGAATACAATATAACAATACTACAATTAGAACCAATAAGTACCCAATACATTACATTCTGACTTACTTCTTCTATCGCAGCTTCAGCTTCTGCAGTAGTGGTGAATGTAATGAAAGCACTTCTAAAGAAAATCCAATGCAGTATTAAACAAAAAAAAGAACACAAAGTGACCATCATAACAGAACTAAACAGAAAGTCAACAGTAGTGATCAAGTAATGACAAACTTCTGACGTTCTTCCACGAAAACTCTATTAATACCACCAAATCGACTAAATGCACTTTGCAAAGAATCTGCGGTCATGTCATATCCACGAACGTAGACGCATGGACCCTTAAAAAAGTATCAAAATGTTGTGAATACAAAATCCTACTCTTCTCTATCTTTTCGCAAACTCAAATCTTAAAACCATCAACTGATGTGTCAACATTTATAATTAGAATAAACTCAACAATATTACAAGTTTTTGATAGTATATCAATATTAACAATTTGGAGAACTTTGATATTACTGTACAAACTTTTTGTTGTTCAGTAGAACCAAATAATCCACCACCTCCATCGAATGATGAGGTCTGTATTTGTACTGGTTTGTTATTATCGAGTCCAATACCTCCAGCAGAAGAATATTTAGAAGAGTGAAGAGAAACTGATTGTTAAATATCTACATTTAAGTAATTATTATTATTACCGCTGTTGAAATCTACTGGCTTCGAAATATCCGACGTTGGTTATACTGCAGTAATCATATTAGAACTTAGAGAATTAATATGAAGAGATTTATGAGTATCATAGTTATTCGAAAGTAAACAAGCAAAATTACTATGAGTAGAAACACATGATTCTGAGTTATATGCATTAGACACGCCGGGTTTGTTAGTATCAGAAGCTGGCTTGCTCGCTTCCACAGTTTCTGGTGCTTTCAACTGCGTTTTTGTTATGTCAGAAGTACCACCAGCACAAATTGACTTTTCAGAGTTAACGTCATTAGATGTACCAGCTGATACTGATTCCGTATTATTTGTAGCAATTTTCTGCAAATAATTAATTGCAAGTTGAAAACAAAAACTCTCTGTATGGTTTGAAATCTGTGATAAAAGTTTTTCTTATAAACAGCAAAGGAGCTAGAAAATTTGCAGTTATGATGAAAAAATTATTTAATCAATGAAATGAACGACAAAGTGCTTTAATACATCGCTTTTGTAAATTACTAACTTAGCATCACTTCCATCTTTGAATAAAGAAAACCATAATTCAAAAACCGAGTTTTTCAGAATTTATTACTCTATTACATTTAACAAAAAAATATGAAATTATTAAATCTAGTTACAACAGCTCTGAACTTACCCTGCGTTTTGCTATTAAACTTGAGCGTTTGAATGAGTCTTTCTTCTCATCAGCTTTTTTAAAAGTAACGGTGCCAAGCAACACTTTCCGTTTGACTTCCTCAGTGGCTACTTCTGCTTGTAGTATATCTTTAATACAATAATAATAAGTGTAATAGAATTAGGAATATCAATGAAAAAATCATAAATTAAAAATGGTTTTTAAGAACTGGCGTTAAATTGCCAAATTTTACTGCCTTAATCGGATATATTTGGTCATTTAATTCTTAATTCTATTACATTTAACTGTGATTAATGAAAACATTCCAAATACATAATGAGAGAATATTTGACATAATCATACGTTGTTTAGTAGTTTTACGTTCTACTTTAAGATCTCCCGACAATGAACCGACATTTCCTTTATTCAGCGCAGCAATCGATTTCCGCTATAAATTCAAATCTTAATTAAAAACTGAATAATTTTTTCCACCTTGAGCTTCTGAGCTTCAGTAACTGAAGTTTAAGTTAAAGAAATCATACTTTTTCATATTATACGTCAATATAAACATAAATATTGAGAAAACATTCTATTATTCAAGTAAACCAGTTAATGAGATCCAATATCATCATTGGTATCTTTTGATTCCATTAAAAACATTTCGACGATATTATCCGCAACACATATAAAGCTATTTCTGGCCTTATGAGAGTTAAGCTGCTTAAAATCATTAATTTCCATAAAGAGTGCAGTGAAATACATGATGCTTTTTATATTTCTGAAGCGTACAGAAGAAATTATCAGGACCTAAACATGAATTTATATACAAGGCATAATATAAAAGCTATTTCACTGAATGAGAAAGACCACACTTATGAGGAAAATTTCTAACAATCCCTAGAATACGAAAACTTACAATCGATCTTAACTTTTCCATTTTTTCTTTAAGGCGCTTTTCATCGTCGCTTAGTGTAACAGGAAAGGCAGAAATACCATCTCGCATGTTCCTGATCTAGAAAAATAGAAACCATATATTAGGACAAAACTGCAATTTATACAGATCCGTACAGCATTTTCTTTATAACATACATGTCCCACTTTCTCTTCATACTATGAATATTACCAAATCTATGAGCCAGTAGATGTGTAAACGTGAAATGCAAATTATTTGAGGTAGACATCTAGTGGAATCATAATCATACCAAATGCTATCACCAACTGCTCCCCAATGAAAATGAATCTTCATTATCCGGTTAAAACAATACAATTTTTTCAACAATCGACGATTATAACAACGAATACTCACAAAATTCTGACCAAAAAATACGCGAAAGCACATAAATTTAAGCCATTAATTTTTAACAAAGATTAGTCAATATAAACACGCTAGAAAAAACTATTAATTTTTGGATTCCTTAAAACTCAAGAAACATTTATAGAATGAAAAAATGCGTACTACTACGATATGAGAAATGACGATTCCAATAATTTTGCCAACTAATTGCATACAATTTCATATTAATTCAGAAAGTTGTAGCTTGCAGCTTTCATTTATTTCAAACACATGTATGATGAAGTATGATAAGTGACAACAATACAGCAAATAAACATGACTGTACTTTTACTCCCATTAAGTGGTATAAGAAATTATTAAAAGACAACTTTTTGATAAGAACGATATACTTCATAAGTATATGAACCAGTATAATGGTGTCAAAAATAATAAATGATTCTTTGAAGCATATTGAAACGAGCCTAGCTACAACTCAACTATTATGAAAACTGTTTATCGAAAGAATCGTTAAAGATTCCTTAAAAATTATCAGGAGTACGGTTATTTACTGTTGTTATTTCAGATATTTCCTCTTTTTGTTTATATACTTACAAATTTTTCCTCTTTTATAAATTTGTCATCAAAAACTATTGATTTAATCTTTTCTTGACAAGTAAGCTTTAGTTTTTTAAATTTATGAAATTAAAATAAGTAAATTAAGCGTAAATTGCCTACAACGTTTGACTGAGGGTTTCTTAATAACTCACAAACTACTCTTACTTTATCACTTGTTGGATTGAAAAAAGAAATCAGTGAAAAAAAACTATGTCATCGGAGCACCAAGCCAATTTCGCACATGCTCATAAACAAAATAACTTATGGCTACCGCTGGTATGGCTTTTATCAAATTTGGAGTAAGACCTCGGTAAAAGCCAGACACTCCATCATTCTTCCAAATACACTGTACTTGACCAGTTAACGTATCTGGTTGAGCCAAATTACCCGATACAGCTAAAAATAAAAACTTTTTTAAATTTTGTAAAAGAATTTCTTACAAAAAATAAAAACCATGAACACTGCTGAAAAAAATTGCTCCATGAAAAATTTTTTTAATGTGGTATTGCATTTTTGGTTTATTGACTATCTACAGACTTCTTATCAAAAACCATACAGTTGGGGAATAATATTGAATGAATTTGAAAGAACATAATAGAAAACAACCTACTCAATGCTTGAAGACGCGTTCTAACCAAAGCGAATGGATAACTAGCTAACATGCCACAAATTGAACTGAAAGCTCCACACAGAGGAAGTGCAAAAGCATTGCCAACAGGATGAACACCATAATTTTTTAGATAATAACTTTTCAATGTTTCGTAAACTGCCAAATCAATACCCGCATACGGAATAATACCAAACAAATTAGGGACAATTCCCTGAAAATCATTTTCAGTAAATTAATTCATCAGGTCAGTTTAGAAAAAACCATTGTCAACTATACCTTATAAAAACAACGAAAGCCTTCATTTGTGTACAGTGAAATAGCAAAATGCATTAACCCTCTATCTAATTGGCCAGTTCGTCGAAGTGCCAAACGAGTTTTGAGAACCTAAAAGTTGATAACTCCAACAATCTCCAAATTCACTAATTCAAATTTCTACAGACTTTGAATTTTTAACAAACTGTATGGCAAATGATGAAATGAAACAATGAAAAACACATACTTCCATCGGATAAATGATTGTTTGAGAAATAACTCCAGCACTAGAACCAGCAGCAAGACGTTCAGAAATTTGTAGCTCGTGATCATTTCCCCTGCACTTAACGATCATTTGTTTGATCTGAAAATAGCGTGTGATAAAGACATAAAAGCTTATATGATAAATCAACAAAAAAAACAAGTAAAATAAGGTTAAAACATACGAGGTCATATGAAAGAAATTTAAGAGCTGATTCAGGAGCAATTTTAGCTACATTAACGCCATTCCCTCTCCAAAATGACTTTATTCCACCTTCTTCATATAAAATTTTTGCTGCTTTCGAAAAATGCAAACGATTATTTCTATTTGCGTGAACCTGAAATAAACCAGAATCTGAAAAACTAAAGTTACCTAAAATAAAGACATTATTTCCCTTAAATGTCTAAAATAATTTGTTTATATTGGTGAAGAACAGCTGGAAAGCTATGCAGTCAGGAAGTCATGACAGATGAATTTCAATTTAGAACAATTCTGAATTATATTAGTGTTTGGAATTACATGAACTAAAAAAAATCTACCTGAAGATAAATTTTCACTCGATCCAATGGCGCCGTACATGTTCGGCTCATACATCCTGCTGCTCCCCCAGCTGCTAAATGTTTCCACCAAAATCCAGAAGCAATTTCTTGTTGAGAAAAATCGTCCGGAATTTGACTATCTTCACCAATATCTATCACCTGAAACATTGCTGAAATCACTGCTAAACCACAAAATGCAGTAAGTAGAAAAAATTGCTGAATGTATATGATAATGAAAATCTAAAAGTCATCAACAAAATATTACCAAATTATGTTTCCAAAACTTCGCTATTTCTTCTGGCTTTGATCGAGGGTAAAGCAGCATAAAATCTTTGAATTCCGACAAGTTAACAGAAACTGACCCTGTCTGCCCCATTCTATAACAAACAAGTGTTCAAAATTTAGTCCAAAAAATGCATATTAACTAAAAACCGTTAATAAATATTCCAAATTAATAGTGATTTAAGATTCATGGTAAAAAACCTAAGAAAGGGAAAAAATCAAGAAATCCGTCCAATCAATAAACGTTTTACAAATTGGATGCACGCTACTAAAAAAACGACAAATTACCGCTCAACAATGCTTTGTGCTTTAGCATCACTAATTGAAAGGCCAAGATCTTCACAATATTTTTGGATTTCTTGAATATCTACATATCCTGAAACACAAATCAATTTGTTTAAACAAATAAAAAAATTTATATATACGACGAAAGTGGAAAAAATTACATTGAAGTTGAAAAATAATTGTGAAAATGAGTCAAAAAATTAACCATCTTTATTTTCATCTAAATCCCGAAATATGACTTCTAAATTTTTCTCGTGCTCAAGAGCATAATGGACAAAATCAGAAAAAGTTATTTTGTTATCATTTAAATGATTGATTCGTGCAAATAATTCCTGAAACTTAATTTCAGTTTCACATGCACATTATTTAGAAACCTTCATTGAATATTTCAAACTAATAGTAGTTTATCTGCCGTAACGTTCCAATATTACAAAAACCTATGAAAGGGAAAAAATTAAGAAGTCCCTGCAATCAATAAACATTTAGCAAATTGAGTGCACTGATACTAGAAGTTTCACACAGCAATAAAAATTTTAACAAACTTCAATATTGCTACAATAAAGACTTAATCCACAAATCTTTGTTGTAGTGATATTGAAATTTTTTCAAAGACTTATTAGTAAAATAAATGATATGAGAAAAATATGTAGCACAAACCTTGCTCAAATTTTATAAACGATTTATAGAAAAGTTAATAGATTAAAATTTCATTAACTTACAGGTATAATACCAGTCGGTATATGAGGCGCTTTCAACTTAAGTGCATTTGTCAAATCTCTAATATCGACAGTACCATCTTTATTTACATCCAGTCGATCATATAATTCTCGTAAATGCTTTTCTTTTTCCTCCGAAATTTCATGTGCATTCGAAATAAACATGGGTAATGCAGTCTGAAATACGAAAGCGAAATATCAAAAAATATTGCCTGAATAAAAAATAAATTATTTTATTTAAGTATGGAAAGTAAGAAACAGCGAATTACAAATTGAAATGCAATTGACAATAAATTGATTTCAATATCGATTGGGTACAAACTATTCGCAATCACTTTTTAATTAAATTATGTATTTAAAACATCACATAAACACATAGTAACTTCTGAAAAACTGGGTGAAATATTAATGATAATTTTCTGTTATACTAATTTGAAAATAACCCGATTCAGAATTGCTCTTGATGTTTTTGGAGCATCTGCAGTTGATGGCTTAGATAGGTTTGCTGATGAAATGAATTCAGATGAATAACGTAAGCATTCTGAAATCTATAATTTTAATATATTTGTTTGTGGCATATATATTAAATGCATTTCGAAAAATGAATAACAAGTCATGATTTTTAAGCAATGATAAATGAAAATTTTCAAGACATAATTGACATGCAAACCAAGTCCATGCTAAACAAATCATCGATGTTACTTTTCATGATCGGATGGTAAGTAAGGAATTTCTTTGCAAAATAATAGAATTTTAATTAAATTCATCACAGAAGTGGCTTAATTTTTAGTTTGGACGTGTGTCAAAGTAGTTACGAAGTGATAACTAAAAATAATACTGCTCTTTTTTCAGCATTATGACACCTAATTACATGAATGATAAATGCAGGTATAAAGCTCCAGTCAGAATATTTAGGCGTTTTTCTCATTACAAAAACTAACAGTCATAACTTTAAATCAAAAACCGACCATTGTCAAAATGGAGTTATATTACCAAGTTAATTACTTTGCTATTGAAAAAGTAGAATGAAAAGTTTACCTCACAGTCTGGAAACATTTTGTAACGATCAGAACTAAAAAAATGAACTTTTTCTGGCAACAAGAAAATTCTACTTTGAAGATAATTATATTCACGAATGCACGGAATACTATCGTAACGGCATCAACCTGAAAAATTAAAATTAGTACAGAGTGCAAAAAATATAAAAAATAGTTAATTATGAAAATTTGTTTAACTAGTTTTCTTCGCCCTCACTTAATCCTTTTTTCAAACATATCAAACAACAAATTCTAGTCTACATCAACTCATGCAGAATGCACTTCTGCAACAAAATATTTTACTGAAGTTTAAATTGCAAAAAATTGTAGAACAAAGACATATGCTAGTGAAAAATTATCAAGCACTAGAAAACAACGTGTATTTCTTCCTTTATCTATCATATTTATGTTTACGATGAACGTAGTCATGATTATAACGAATGACGTGATTCTATTGAAAACAGCTACGACTGCGATGAAAGATAAAGGCATTATGATGAAGAAAGAAAATTATAAGAACAATAAAGATTACAATGATTAAATAACGATATTTATGATGATAATTGCATGCACGCTGATGACATCATCAAAAACAGGCTAAATGATTTCACTTATGATAGCTTCACCGAACAAGCACTACTGACTAACCAAATTTCAAACTGTTCATAACTAAAATAATTAGAAAACGTCACAAACACGCTAACCTGGCATCATCTCATATATCATTGCTTGGTAAGTGATGAGTGGTCAGACTGCCAAACGCTTATGGGAAAGAGTGCGAATTGGTCACATCTCAAGAAGAGAGAGTGTAGCATTGTTAGTGGGTGCCTGGCATTCTCAAGTCACGTGAATTTCTGTCATAGATGGGGTTGGGCAAGTATTACGTAAGATGGTTAAACTTTTCAAAGTTAATATGGAGTTGTAGCACTTATTTGTTGGCTACTTTCGAAAGTACGGAAATCTGAAAAAGGTACGTAGAAAACGTCAGAATATAGCATAGCTATAATTGTATTCACTTTTTGAATACTTCAAAAGTGTAATATAGGACGGAGTTATCATTACTAGTATTTTTCGTCGCAATATTCCGTAAGATCTTAGCCACATTTTTTCGTATTATTATCTTCTTACTTTGTGCATGTATTTATGCTGGTTAATAATGGCACAAACATCAGCAGCAACAGTAAGAAAAAGCGGTAAAAATGTGGCAACAAAGGCACTTATTGTGCAGCAGTATAAACGGAGATTGAAGGACAATATTAGATCGTTAAATGATAACTTTGTAAACATTATATCAGTCGCAAAGGTTAGTTTTCTAGTGAATATTATTGTTGAATTCATTTATTAGTAACTATTATTTACATAGTATAAATCATCATTTATTTCAATAAGAAAACCAGCTAGCCATTATATTGAAAGTATATTTTGAAATGATATTTTAATTTTCGTTACTTTCACTATTAATTAGTATGTGAAACTTGGCAAATTTAACAAATAAAAATGTTACGGAGTTATGACGAGGATCCTTTTATGTTATTCAACTAATTGGAGTAAAAATCTGCATCTGTTTCACACGTCGCATACAGATTTAAATAAGAACTAACGAAATAATAACATACAAAAGTATACTTCGAGTCCTTTAAGGATTGCCTACGTAATGTGCTCATAATTATTAGACTCTGTACATTATACTTGGTCTGGTGAAAGTTGTAGATATCCGTTTACTGAAGTGCACCAAATGTACTTTCTTCGGTTCATAAAAGCTCTGGATATTGATGTAGTTTTGATTTATAGATCAATGTTGATGATGCAGCTCACAAAAATCCATCTGGTCGTATGAGTGATTTTTATACGATGAAAAATGAAACTGCTGTACGAGCTGCTCTTATGGTATATAAGATTTGCGTAGTTTTTTCTTGAATTATTTGTTTCCTAAATTTTCTCAATTAAGAATCAGTTTTTATTGCTCATATTTATGTTAAATATTTCTATTTTTTATTCTTTTTAACTTTTGTTCCATATTTTGTATGCTAGGAGGATCAAAAGTGTTGAGTTTGTAATTCCAGATTCCATATTTCAGTAACAATATGCTGTCGATGATTATTTATTAATCGTCAGAATTTGTGATATGTTTCAGGTGCGAGCTGCAGACGAATTGTTCAAATTAACACATGATTTAAAAGAATTTTTAATTTTGCATGACTTCAACTTCCTAAGCTGTGCTGTACAGAAGTATGATTTCCTCTATATCGTTTTATATCGGTCTTATTACTAGTTACTAATTAGCTCAATATTTATTCTAAAATCAAGTTCTTGTCAAGATCGGAAGCTCTTTCAGCTAGTTTCATTTTTCCGGTTTAAGAATATTCAAGAATTTGAGAACTTGAAAAACCTTGGCAAGTTTTTGTATTTTATTAGATAAAGTTTGTGTCAGAATTTATTTTCTGAAAGTTTATATTATTTCCAGGGCAGAAGATCGTGCCGAAAAAGTCTTGGATGATTATATTTTAAGATGCGATGCATTGCGATTGGATACTTCATCTTTAGTTACAGATATTGATAGAGAGTTAATTGATCATTTCTCTGTTAGGCATTAATTTTCTTAGTTATCACTGAAATACAGTATACTTGTAACTTTGACGTATCCTTTCGTGATATTTATGTTAGTATGCTGATAAAATATCGACTTCAGTGTTGTGATTTTTTATAATGTTTAGAGGCTGGATTTCATTTTCGTACATTTGATATTATTTCGTTAATTTTTCGACCTTTTTTTTGAATTCGGGCATCGTAAATGAACATTTCCGAATACACTTTGGATTCTACGTCTACTATTCTGTAGTTTCGTTTTGCGAGGTGCTTGCATATAGCTCATTCAACGTTTGAATCAGTGTATGTATGAGCTGTCCCGCTAATTTATTTGTAATTGGATGAAAGTTCCTTGTATTTAGTTGATATGTGTGTTTTTCAGTCAGTAGTTCGTTGTTTTCTTTTTCTTGATAGTTAATAAATATTAAATTAGTGGTTACACAAGATCTTATCAAGTTTCTAGGACTGTTTTGAAAGTAGAAAGAACCATTTATTTATGTATCCTATAATTGAAATATTGTTCAAGACATTCGCTTATTTCCTACTTTGTAGGATTATGAGTGGGACTTACAGAGACCTATGGCTGGATTATAAATCTGCGCTTGATTGTCTGAAAAAAACGTTCCTCAAGAAACCGAATTACTTTCAGATCCTAGCGGGCTTGACGGATGTGGCGTTACGCTTTCAGTATGTCTTTCCATTTGTGCAAGGCTGATTGAGATGACTGTGAATCAAATGGATTTTGTAGTAGTATTTCGTTCAGTTTAATAGAAGTAAAACGGGAAAAAATACCGAATATGAAGAAGGAGTTTTTAAGATTGGTGTAGCGAATATGACATCAACTGACTTCAGTACCTGTTTTTTATAATTTTATTTTTATATAAAAAGTATGTACTATGTATTATTTGATGAGTTTTCTGCAAAGTTTCAGAGATGAAGAGTGTGAACAGTATGCAGGTATGTGCTATATTCAGATAGCGAAAATTCATGAAAAGCAAGGCGATTGGAGTTCACAGTATGGTAATTATCTAAAAGCTGCTAGGTGTTTCAAGAAAGCGGAGTTGAGGAATTATGAAATGAACATATTTGGTTTGTTAGTTTTCACTTTTATGGATGTAGAAACGGTAAATGCAGTCAGTAAGAATGGATTGAACTTATGTTGAGCTCGTCTAGTACGCAGAAACTAAAATTCTTAGTGGTAATTTATTTGAAGTTGACATTTTGATTGTTTCGCATTTACATAACGTGAAAAGTAGTTGAAGATGGAATTAGTAACATTTCATTCCAGTGAAAGAGATGAAGAATGATAGAAATAAATGATCTTGACTTCATGAACTTCAGCTTGTTCTGATTATTCGAACTTTATGCAAGATTGTTATAATCGAGCTATCAATCTCATTTTTGATCATGATGGATTTTGGCTTGCTGGTTTGCACTGCACTGAGTTGGGCTCTACACTGTGTAGTATTGACGAGCATCAGCTAGCTTTGCCATATTTGTTACGAGGTCTTGAAGTTTTCATATAATATTGTTGTTTAGATTTATATTTAAAAGATTACTTTATTGAAAAATGAGATGAAATAAGAGAGTTGATACAGAACATAGAGTAACCGCAAAACTATATTTAAATTCTTTATTGTTTAATTGTATTTATTCTTGAAACTTCGATTATTTAAGGAGCTGAACTTTTGAAAGTCGAATTTCATAGTAGGTTAGCAGCTTTACAAAAGCTAGCTGCATGTCAGGCTGAGTTGGAGTTGTACTCAGACGCCCTTTCAACTGTAGATGACCTGTGGACACTTCATATGAAAAATACAAATAACCCGAAGTAAAATTTTTGTTTATAACTCGAAAAACAGCTAAATCATTCTATATGTCAAGCTGAATATCCGAAGAAAAAAATTTTTTCTTTGTCAAAACTATTTAAAATGCTGTATCAATACTAAAAATCTTGCATATTTTCAACAATTCTTATTTTAAATCTAGATTCGGCTATGGCGATGAACTTTTAAAAGATTGTGAAATCGCAACTGTACTTCTTCTTCTGTTTAAGAAAGTAAGAAATTATCTACTAGCAATTAAAAGTATTTTATATTGTAATATGTACTCATTTACTTCAATTTTCAAAAAGTCACTTTTGTATGATCTCTAACTGCGTAGTTATAATCAATTTATTCCACCTTTAGAATTAATTATGATTCTTTAAACATTGAAAATAGCTTTAATTATAATGCATTCACGGATCAAAATTTTAAACGAAGCTGATACTTGAGTTTTGTATTTCTGTTTTGATAAGACTTTGCAGAATGACGATATATCAGGACGGCATCGTTTATTACTCTCTCTTTATGATAAGTCATCGCTGATACCTGATAAGAAAACATCACCAGAATGGAATGTGCCATGGAAAAAATTGCCTCCAAAAGATTCTTCATTATCCAAAGATTTGTATTTCTACTTTTACGAATTTGTGCTGGCTATCCGTTATGGTAATGTAAAAATGGCCAAAAGAAGTTTTGATTCTCTTGAAAGTCGTTTAAACTTAATGTGTATCAAGTTAGCCATGAAAATGTTACATGATATGATGCATAAAGGTGGACTGGATAAACGAGGTTTCGCTGATAAATTCATTTCGGGATAAAGAAATAATTTCACTTTACTTTTACAATTAGTCCATTAATTTATGTAGACTTGAATGTTTTTATCATGTAAATCTTGAGTGACTTTGGTTTATGCTACTCCATTATTAAAAGAAAGGTACTTTGCTTATAGTGCCATAATTGTATTTTTATTTTAGTGTAAAATTTACATATTGCAAAACATGAGCTACTAATAGTTATTAATGACACCAGTACTTTATTAGCAGTTCTTAGAGTAATTGCATCAGAATGGCGAGTGAAATAGAATATTTAAATTCCAGACATAAGTATTTGATTGGAACCATTAAAAGATGATTAATCTATTCAGTTATATTTTTGTTCAATCAAATATTGTTTTGTAAGGAACAAAAATGCAATTTCCTTTCATTGTAGTGTGAAATCGTTATGATATCGCTGAGATGTATAATTAACATGCACTGGTTACTAGCACCATTATATATATATGAAGGAAACCGTGCTAAAATTGTTTGATTTTTCATTTTGAAGTTATAAAATATTTTTTTCCTGCCATGGTAATTATCGTGAGATTTAATTACTGGTGAATCACAATATTGAGAATAATAGAAAAGGATACTGGGATAGTTTTTTTGAATACTAGTAAAGTGAAAGTTTGGTTGATTTCCAGAGGAGAATGTTTTTTCCCTCAGGACTGCTTTGTAGTTTGTAGTCCAGTTTTGTGGGCTGTTTCATACAAACAATTCATGGTATGTAACTGTAGTAATTGCTACAAGTTGTGGGGTTTTTTTGAAATAATTGGTTTTATAAAATTTTGAGATTAGGTTATATGTGTTAAATTTAAATTTTCAGAAATGATGAAGTTGCTGATTTTTGGGAAAGTGTGAAGAAAATGTGTCATTTTGTTCACAAATTTATGTTATTTAGCATTTTGTAAAACTTGGACAGTAATTGTGTTATTTAGCATTTTGTAAAACTTGGACAGTAATTGTGAGGTGAAATTCTATGTAAAAGGAAGACTTTTTTTTGGTTTTAGGACATTATTGGGGTAAATTTGAAGGCTTGCAGTGCTGTCATCATGTGTTTTGTTGCGCTGAATGCAGTATAAAAATAATAATTCATAATAGTAATAATAATATTTATTATTATCTCTAATAGTTAATTTGTGATGATTATTTCGTTATTATGAATGATTGTTACAGTAAATTGCAACCGAGTATGATACTACTTGAAAATATATATGAGAAAATAAATGGTAGTCTCATTTCTTTGATCATATGGTAGGACAATCATGTTATGTCAAAAAGAAATGGGGTTGTCGTATGAATTGCTTCAAATTTGGATGGTGACAAAGATGGCATACATCAGTATGAAATTTTTGTGTATGCGTTTATTGTATCATTTTGATAGTACTAGAGAAGCAATTTTTTTATTCACATCTTAACCTTTAACTTAACGAGGGGAGTTATGACTGTGGTTCTAAAGCGAAGTATCACTGATTGGTGATTCACTAAAACGTGTATTCTTAAATTTAAGTTAAGGAGTCACAATATTTGATTGTAAATTATGCTGCAATTTAGAGAGATATCAAAGTTCGAAATAGATTTCGATTTGAGATAATAGAGAAATTTCATTTCAATTAGTTGGTTTTACCATTATTTCTATCTGTTTCTAATTCTTTTTCTAGACTATTAACAATTAGTAATGGCTGCTAATTGTTAATAGTTTTCTCCCTGTTCTAATTTTGTATATTATTGTTTTAATGCATTAACAATCTTTGTACCACGAAATTAATCGTAGTATTAGAAATCAACTTTTTGAGCAGGAAAGTTGTATACAGATGTTGCAATAACCTTCAATATTTCTTACGTATTATTACTTTGAAATTCATTTATGAATTCTTTCAGGATGAAGTTATGGGTTTAAATTTTTTTGTAGGAAAGTTGAAGGATCAATGAGTAGTACATCAGGACGATATGGAAAATTGGATACGTTTGAAATTGAAAAGAAAATTGGGAAAGGACAATTTTCTGAAGTGTACAAAGCTCGATGTAAAGAAGATGGTAGCTATGTAGCACTAAAGAAAATCCAGGTTTTATTTGCTGCTTATCACATTTTGAAGTAAATATGATTGTGTACTACTAGATTCTTTAATTACCTATTTTTCCAGTTGGATATTGGCTTTTGAAGTTTTTATTTATTTGTATATTTCATGATATCTTTTGTCGAAAACTGTATGTATTTATATTTTCAATACTCTGTTAGGAAAATATTAGAAAGATGTTTCAAATTTTCGGAATTAAATGGCGGGAGACTCTGGAAGAAAAACTCTTTCTGAAAACCTGAATATTCGAGTTGAAAAAGAAATTGTGAAGCATAAGTGAATAAGGATTTGTGAATAAATATGGAATAAGGATTTATGAATGAATAAGGATTTGTGATCGTGCTAGATATCACATAATTTGAATTGTTCCGTTATAATGGTGTTAAAAAAATTTTGTTCATTCTTGTTATATACATTAATTCCTGAGCAATTTTTTATGACTGTTTTCAAGGTTTATGACATGGTGGATGCAAAAGCTCGACAAGATTGTATTAAAGAAATTGATCTTTTGAAGCAATTGGATCATCCGAACATTATTCGATGTTATTCATCATTTATTGAAAATAATCAACTGAATATTGTTCTCGAGTTAGCAGATGCAGGAGATCTGAGTCGTATGATACGGGTTATTTTTTATTTTTATTTTTCTTGAAAGTTTTCGCCAATACGTCATGTCATTTATATATATCATGCATTTTATAATTTTTAATAGACTTTTCTTTGTTAGGCTACATAGAAGAGTGTAATTAACTGTATTCAAATTTCTTTCTTTCAGTTTCATTTTTCTTATATGATGTTGAATCGTTTGCTGTTCAAACTGAAGTACTCACAGTTTTAAAAATATTTAAATTCAATAGATTTTTTTCAGCATTTTAAAAGAAGTAAACGTCTTATTCCGGAGCATGCAATTTGGAAATACTTCGTGCAGTTAGTGCGTGCATTAAAACACATGCATTCGAGGCGAATTATGCATCGAGGCATATTTTATTTCTATTTTTAAATAATGGGTTTTTTGTGAAATAATAATTAGCTTTAATCTGGTATTTTTCAAATTAAATTCGTTTCAATCCGCGGTAGGGCTAAAAAGTAACCCACAAATTGAAATCAGTTTTCAGATATTAAGCCAGCTAATGTTTTCATTACCGCGAATGGTTTTGTGAAACTCGGAGATCTTGGATTAGGAAGATTTTTCAGTTCAAGAACCACTGCAGCACATTCTCTTGTCGGTACACCATATTATATGAGTCCTGAAAGGATTCAAGAAAGTGGATATAATTTTAAGTCAGATCTCTGGAGCATCGGGTGTTTATTGTATGAAGTACTTTTTGTTTCAGTCTTTATGAAACTAAGTAGTTAAATGATTAATTAACTAAATAAAAAATAGATAAGGAGTAAATAATTTTTACAGGGCGATATATTATATTTAAATACAATATGACAGTATGTAATATGGTGTAATTTGTAGTATGATGATATATAGTAATATGTAGATGAGTTTTCAGTTTGTTTTGATTATTAAGTAAATTTACTACCAAGATCTGATTTTTCTGTTTGGTGTTGATTTTTCAATAATTCGATAAATATCATAGGTTTTTCTTAAGTTTGTGTTTTTATACTATTTCATTCCTGTTTCAGATGGCTGCTTTACAGTCTCCTTTTTATGGAGATAAATTGAATTTATATTCACTGTGCAAAAAAATTGAAAATTGCGAATACCCACCTTTACCAGCTGATATCTACTCCAAGCAGGTTCCTGATTCTGATAATTTTTATCTTGTTAAGGGACAGTTAATTTTGTACTCTTATATATACGTAACAGTAATATTATCAGCTAGATCTCTCCTTATAATTCGAGCTATCTTTCGATTATATCTGAATTTCATTTTCAGCTTCGTGATTTAATATCGCGATGTGTTTGTTCAAATCCCAGTAAACGTCCTGATGTTACTGAAGTGCTCAGTATTGCTGAACAGTTGAACACGCATTTTCAAGTTAATGTTAAAATTATGGATTTTTTAGATATTTTCTTGATGCATCCGTCTTTGCAAAAATTACACTTAATTCGACAAATTGTTTTTTCCAGATATGAAAAAACGGTGTTCTTTTATTATCTGTAATTACAGTAATTTTATTTCAGTTCGAGACGTCGAAATCAGCTGTAAGGCCTCCGCGCCGCCAAAGTCAAGACGAATCCAATTCTCGTAGCGATGTTTGTGTTTCTCTCAGTAAATAATGCAGTTTATGTGTCTTAAAGATGAATTAATGTTGGAGATTAGTTACATGTATATCTGACTCATTGTTATACTGCTTTATTTGCATAATTTTAAGTGCTGTGCTAAGTATTTTCGTGATTTATTGTAATGAAGCGAAAATGAAGTATGAGTAATGAGACAGTAAAATTGCCACAAGGCTTATGATGAGCTATTCAAACTACTCTCGCTAGCATTTCAGATGGCAGTTTCATTATCAGCTTTTTTTGTAAATTCTTGCCTATTTATTATTTTCCAGCATATCCTGTTCATTTGTCTTTGAATCTTATTTGTACTAGAAATTGGATATGAACTTTGCGATTTGTTTTCATTCGATAGTTTGGACTAAATAAAATTTGTTTCAGTGTTAACGATGTACTACTTCGTTGAGGCCAAAAACATCGATCTTTTGAAGTATTTTAGTGGCTTTTGTTACTAAAAGTGATTAGAAGCAATTTCAGATGTCTTTATGATTTGAAGTGCGATGTGGTTGGCTAATTTTGTGGAGTATTCTTAGAAAATAAATGGAACTTTGGCTTTTTCTTACATTTCTTATTCTTAAATCATTTTCATCTCAGTGCTGTGAATGGGTCAATGCTGTGACGATACGCAAAGCCAGTTTGAAGGTTATCCTTTTTTTTTAGAATACATGCTGGCGAAATTGGACTTATTTCAAAATTTGTGTCAAATATGTATTTTTATGTTATAAGGTCACAATCTCTTTTGTAGCTGTGAAGGATATACATTTCTATTCAGTAATTACAAGCCATTCTTTAAAAGCAACGATCAGTTTTTAGGGTCTTCGTGGTGGTTTACATCGGAGACTTCAAATTAATATTGAAGTTGGCAGTAAAAATCGGTTTTTGGACTGTTTTTTGGGTTATAAATTCACTATTCCAGCAGGCGCGTTTGTGGATGTCGACAGGTACTATTATTAGTTCTTAGAAATTTATCAAAGAATTTGAAGGACTGAGTGAATTCCAAACATATTTTACTATTAACTTGAGAAGGTTTCAGAAAGTAAAGCATAGTGACAAATTCTGAATCTTTTCTATTTCTGTTTATGGATAATATTTACGAGATTTTTTCAATTAGTTTTTCTAGTTTCTTTAACCGCTATAATTCAACATATCGAAATGATTGAAAAAGTTGAAATTAGTTATATTCACGACTGAGACATTACTTTAGGAAGTACTCAGTGATTGTAAATTTTTTTCAGAGAAAATAAGTCTTATTACATCATTAATGTATCCAAAATACATTATGCTTGCACTTTTTCTGAAGACTGAAATGAAGTAAGATGTGATCAAAGTTATTTGTAGTTGGAAGGAACTGCATACTCATACATATGTGGAAACTGTATTCGATGTGGAAATGCCAATGGAGAAATCGAGAGATGCTCCTTTATATGTATGTCCGAAACGAAGATTAAGAAAAAATTTTGTTTTCAACGATTCCTTCGAAATACCTCTACATTTGCGTTATCATGCTGCTACAGGACAAGGTTTCGATATTGCCGATATAAGTTTTTTTATTAAGCTTATACTTTTTACAATTTTCAAACAGAATTTTGTGAGAAATTTCAAAGTTTCAAACATTCACATATTACCTTCAGTCCTCCAGATTACAAAGCTCTAAATTGCAAATATTAGATTATAAAGTATAGAAGTTTTAGTCAGTATGTGGTACTTACGGAATTTAATTTTAGAGGCTGAAGTTAGCATACTTGCTCCGCAGCTGCTTTTAAGATGCATGGAGAATTCAACTTTCCTTACAGTTCCTTGCAGAAAATACTTGTTTAAGGTATATTACTATTAATATCGCTTGCAATAAATTCCAACATTTTACTTGTAGAAATGATAGGTGATTTAAATATGAAATGGCTTTTCAAGGCATTTAAAGAATTATGTCGCTAAAATCCTATGTAATATGTAAATGTTACAAGTCACTTATTTAAAAAGTTTATTCCTTGCAAATTTTTGAACAAAAAATTTTAATTTTCAATAAATTATGAATTTTTGCAGGCACCCTGTGACTGCTCGACGGAATCATTTTGTCAGTGGTTAATGATACCGTTTTTGGAGCATAGCAGTGTAAAGTTCAAAATACCTACTGGAAACAAAGCTTCGTTACGATTTATTTTAATTATTACCATTTTTGTCGTTCTTTGCTGTGCTCTGACGATTGTGCTTAGTTCGATAAGCAAAATCACGAAAACGAAAATGGAATAATTATATTAGACGCTACAAATGTTGTTGATCATATTGAATGAATACTTACAGCAGACAAAAGCTGAGATTATGTACAAAGTTAAAGTAGAACTTGCCATAGTGTTTTGAAATTATGCTTCAAAGGATGTAAGTAAAACTTTACTTTCACTATTTCTCGGGAATCACAAAATTCTGCTTTGTAATAACTCTAGCTGGTAATTGATAAATATTATCTTTCTGATAACAGCAATAAATATAACTCCTGAAGACCAACAAGAACTACTTTGAAAAGCGGTTCCGTATGCAAACATAACTGCTATTTGTAAAATATAGCAAGTTAGCAAATCTAATGAGATCTATCTTCATTTGTTGCAAACATTTAGTACTTTTGATCAAAAAATGAATCAATGTATAGTTGATTATTTGCTGATGCGAGCGAAATGTTAAAGATGTCGTGTATAATTCCTCGAGTTTGTACATTAGTACTTTTTAGATGGACAAGTTTGAAATCTAATGCAATATTACTGTGCAGTACAAATTATTTTGCACTTGTTACTGTTACAATTGTTGTTAGTGGTAAAAGTATTAATTCATTTTATAGTTTAAATTAAAAAATTTGCTGTGCTCAATAGAAGCGAAAATTTCCATACAATTATGCGTTGACAGCTTTCGCTCCAATTCATGGTTTCATTTTGGGTCAAAGTGCAATAATTTTATTTAGAAGTTTTTGACAACACTTTTTCAAAGATACTTTATTTCAGAGATTTTTTATATAATAATAAAACAAACATATTCCATTTGTAAGAATGCACTTAACTAAAACAAGCTGGAACTTCATCCAGAGATCTGTGGGAGAGTTCAGAAACACCAAAATCATGAAAAGTTTTGCTTTTGATCTTAGAATTGATGTAGCTAAGAGGTATCCATTTTTGCAGATTGATTGGACACCACTGAAACATTTCAAATTTAAAGTTAAACTACAATTTTCACTATTTCAAAATAATATTTATCCTTGGAAAGTTTAAAAATTTATATTAGATTTCTTATTTTATTATTGGCAGATGCTACTGTTTTTGGGGAAATCAAGTTGCAGTTACTCTACATGGCAACTGAGTGTTACACAAAAATTATGAATAACCTGCTAACAAATTACTGTCCGGAATTTCTATGAAAATTCTTGATCCAAAATACATTCTTATCAATTTTATAATTATTTATATTATTTATATTTATATTATTATTATTATTATTGTTATTATTATTATTAATGCTTAAGCAGTTAAAAATAATTCAGCAAACAGAATAATAATTACGTTCGACTCAGCGTTACAACCATGGATGATGTTGACTTTTGGTGTAATTGTTGTTACCTCATTAACACAGCCATATAGTTGGTAATAACCATCTCTGTCGGTCCGAGTTTTATCCATTACATCGTCGAAATCCACTACAGGTACAAAATTATATAAGTTTATGCTCTCCAAAATTCATACCAAAAAAAAATTCTGATGAACAGCATTTCTCAAAGTCATGGAATAAATTTTGTGTAGTTCCCATCTAAGAATAGCGAAAGTGATATTTATAACTGCAAAGTATTATCAAAAATTAAATTCAATTTCAAAATGTGTTTAAAAGTATTAAAACAAACTGCTATCTCCATCCACAAGATTAACTATTACTCGGTAAGATGACCTTCCATTACACATGATTCTTCCCTTTGCCCCCACACACTGCTTTTTACCAACCCATGAGAAAAGAAAATCGAATAGTCCAAATGATTGAGCGAACAGAGCAAACAATAGCATGTAATGGATCAGCATTCTTTCTAACCTGTAAACTTGATAAATTTATAATAATACTTTCTCAGAGAGCTTAGCTATACCAATAGCCTTATTACTCCGTAGAAACTGAATGAAATCAAAATTTGATCAGATATAAATTTATTTGAGAACAAAGTTTCTCCACCTATTTATATATGGTTCCAGCCTTTTGTTCACTTTTTCCAAAACATTACGTTAAATGGACAGCATCATAAAGATGCCATCACAAACAGATCGAATAGAAAACAATAAAACATTTTTGAATAATAATTTAGTTTGGATGGTTTTTGCTTGCAAACAAATATCAATTGATATCAATGCACTTCACTTCATTTACGTGTGCTGAATGATTTCAGTAAGACTTTTTCTTGTCAACATATTTTTATGCTACAGGAAATTCTTCCTTTCGTATAAGCATTGTATAAGATGGTATTTGCTTTGTTCATTATTAATCACTTGAAAATATTTTACCTCAAACAATTTTTTCGACGTCACATGGATGGTATACGTAGTGGATGTCAGTTCTTCTTGAAGGAAAGGAGTTTGGGGGATAGATTTTGTTACGTTTGCTGGGTGAGTGATATGTTCGTATAATTTTCAGATGGCACTTTCAAAGAAATGAATACAACAAATCAACAATTCATACGTATATGCGCATAACTGTCTAAGAAATGGGCGTACAGAGCGAAACGTGCTGAATAAGATAAAATCGTGTACGTAACGGAATCCAAGTAAATAAAATAAAAAAGGTAACAACTATAAAAACCTTAATATTGAGCGTTAAGAAAAAAGTCGTAAAAATGAGGCTAAAAGCAAAGCAGACCAATTTTTTTCCATTAGAAAAACAGCATTCTAGCATAATCTCGAATGAAAAATCGTTAGCAAATTACAGCTATTTGTTTGTTTCATTTACATCGGAAATTCTTATTCCACT